TATATATATCTGTATCTATATACAGCATTCAAATCTTTAAGGGCATGTGTGCTTTGTGATGCATCAGTGACCAAAATGTCCGATGTAATTCCTATTTTGATTTGTAACATACGTTCCCGAGGGCATCAGGTGAACAACTGACTAGACTTTGCATACGTTTATGATCCACCTGTTCTGTTGCACATTCTAATGTGATGGAAAATCTATAACCAGTAACCTTTGGCAGTGACCAAAATGTCCATCTGAGTTAACTCTGCTCAGCAGAGCAGCAGTGACTCTTTTATATTGTTGATATCTGATCAGAATTAGTGAAGGACATTTAGCTGGTTTCAGAACATTTGAGTTAGCGTTACAGAGTCATGTTCTCATGGCTTTATCTTAATTTGGTGTATATATATATATGTGTGTAATGATATTCAGCATGAATACCATGTGTGTGTGTGTGTGTGTGTGTGTGTGTGTGTGTGTGTGTGGGTGTGTGTTCTGTTGCACATTCTAATGTCTGTTATAGTATCTCACCTGAGATTGACACAGTGCACCACCTGTGGAGCACAATCCGCTCGCCGTTTCGCGAATATCTGTTGTCATGACTATGTCATAGTGATTCATAAACACATGCTCTGTCATCGTATCGCATGGTGACATCACTGGATTGTCTGGACCAGACTCGATTTGTCTACAAACAACATCATACAGCTGTAACACTGCAGAAACAAATATCTGCTCATGACATAGTCACAATTGTACAATCGACTCTGCTTTTAGCAGATATTTCTTGTGAATGTGGAAAGGGTTTTGACGCTTCTACTAATGAGTCACAGTGTGACATTTACGATATTTTTGGCCATTATCAACTAGCTTTTATCAACCATATTACCCCGTCATTGACAATATATACCTGGATCGCAGCATGTTGAGTTACAATCCCTGTGTCTAGTATTGCACATCAACGGTATTTAGTTGTTTTGTTGGATGTACCAAAAATGTCTCGAGTTGATCCCATATATCTCAGCTGTCTGAAAGACGGTGCACCAGTCTATGCAGGATCTGTTTACAGTCCTCACCAGACAAGCAGCCTACAGTTGTGCTGTGTATTATGTATTCACGAATATGCATTGCCGTTGTAACAGCTGGTGTTTGTATAGTTCCGCGCAGACGCAGTAGCAGAATGGTTGTTGTTCTCTCACTCAATTAACGACAAAGAGTGTATTTCATTTTGCTTGTTCAAAGTAATTGGTCTGCCGTGCTATATTCATTTCATCAATAAACTGCTTGGGATGGCATATTGCCACGCCTGGATCGAAGATAAATATATATATAGTCAACGCCATTAGAAATGGAAACACGAAATATCGCCAGGATTATTCAAGCCAGCTGTATTACTTACAGTAATGCACAAAATTGCAAAGTGCACTTTTAACGAAACATACATTCTGCTTGCGATGCATATCATTAGCGAGTGGCTACATTCAGTATAGTGTGTCGATTATATACATAACTATGGAATCCGAGAAGGGACATTGTCGCTATGTCGCATTGTCGCCCTCACAAAAAAAGTAAAGTGGGGCAAAATAAACCAAAACGCGACACGCGACATCGCGACAATGCGACAAATGGGCGAAATGTCGCGTGTCGCGTTTTGGTTAATTTTGTCCTCATTTTGCTTGTATTTGAGGGGGCGACAACGCGACAATGTCCCTTCCAGGATTCCATACATAAACATCACTGAAAGACATAAACGCGCAAATGCAGTATTCAAAGCGCTAATGACCACGTTCTTTGCTAAATATAACTCTCGCACTCACCTGACTGTCGATTCTGTACGGAACTGAAACCACGTGATTGAACTCAATGACAATGTTTATTGCTTGTAAGCGGATATCTTTCGAAAAGGTCACCATGGAATATATTTTATTTGTATAATGAACATTCCTATGGCCGGAATGGTGAAAGTCAGCGGTGTCAGCAAGGTTGATAATAATAATAATCTACTTCTATAGCGCCGAATAATTCCAACTAGGCTGCTACAGGCGCTTGGGCAGTCCCAGTCTATTTCATTTCAAATAGCTGTGTCTTTAGATGTTTTCGAAAGGTTTGTAGACTTGGAGCGGATTTCAGCGACATAGGGAGGTTGTTCTATAGCATTGGAGCTGCACATTCAAAGGAGCGGTCCTCGTATTTCTTACTGGATGGTCTGGTGATAAGCAGATCTTTATCTTGTGATCTGAGAGTTCTTGTTGGTCTATGGTTGTTTAGGAGAGAAGACATGTAAGATGGAGCAGTGCTGGTCTGCAGGCACTTGTAGATGATGGTAAGCAACTTGAATTTTATACGTCTAGCAACAGGTAGCCAATGCAGTTCTCTTAACCTGGGGGTGATGTGGTCTGTTCGAGGACAACGAGTTATGATCCTGGCGGCCGTGTTTTGTATAACCTGGAGTCCATGAACCAGGATAGCTGTTATCCCATACAAAAGTGAAGGTTATTTCTTACTTGATCCATATATACAACATATAATTTCAGAGTAAAAGCGCTGACCTGGCCCTAGACATGCACAAGTCTCTAAGGTCATAATTAATAGTTTAAATGAAAATTTCTATAAAAATATAAATAAAAGACTGGCGTCTGTCCGCGTATGTAAACTTGCTTGATTTGAAGGATAGAATTACTATTCATCCATGGGCTTAGGATGCAGTACAGCCTAGGAGCAAGGCTAACCTGGCCCCAAAAGAGCGAGTTATCAATATTAGAGGTGCGAATTAGTTATATCAGGGATACTCTACAACATAGTCTCCCTGGTTATATCTTGTGCTCTCACGACTGCGTATGATCTGAGCGCTGCGTGAGAACATCACAACCCGACAAGGCTTATAGTCCCTGAATATATATAATATTGATAGTAACAAATAAACCCATTTAATTTGAAAAGGAGCCCCAGTGAGTTCAGGGAGCCTGGGGAATTCTAGACTTGCTTCCTTTAGGGCTTTAGCATTGCAGTGAGGGCTGGGTGGTAGATATACAATAATGTGGTTCAGGGACTGTAAGGTAGACTAAACCCGAGCTACTGACCCTCAACAAATGTATGCATGGTCCAATAATGAACCTGTGTGTTCCCGGCGTCAGGTGTTCACGTCGTATCTGCACTATTCCATCTACAAGGGAGACTATATAAGGCCCTGTTGTAGAGTATCCCTGCATCTACATAACCAAGAATCGTAAATAATCGAGGTAGTTTGGACGAGACAAAACAGCAAGTGGTTCCCATGACCATAATCACTTGACACAGTAGTTACTTAAATCAACACAACAACAGCCTTGTTCTGGTAGAGTAACTTAATTGCTCATCTAACTTTGTCCCTGAGTGACCACCACTCTTAATTACCCCTATGCATTTTCCCCTGAGTGACCACTGTATTCCCCTATTATGTAAGAGGACGGTGGTCACTCAGGGAATTAGTCTGTCTCACAGTCCCTGAACCACATTATTTTCCCTACTGCCAAGCTCTATCTGCAGTGCTAAAGCCCTAAATGAAGCAAGTCTAGATTTCCTCAGGTTCAGGATCTCTGGTCTCCCTGGGGCTCCTTTTCAATTTAAATTGGCTTGTTTGTTATTATCAAAATTATATATATTCAGAGACTAAGCATTAGTCTATCAGGGAATATACCATGCCATGAACGGAGTCCCGCGCTGCAGGGGCACTGTGGCACGTCATAAAGTCAGCGCGCACGACCAGCCACCACTAATGTTACCTTTTATGACGGGAATGATAATGTGTTTTGTCAAACGTTTTTAACTTGAAAACACAAAGGGCTGGGTTTTTCAAACAGTCGACGTAGGCAGTAAGTAAACCTAACGGTGGTATTCCGGACATTTTGTACAAAACCGCCCGCCGCCATGATGACCCGCGGGGACATGCACCAGAGACCTTTTCTCCAAATTACTAAAAATTATTTTAGCATTATGTTCTGCTGTACATACGTGCAACGCGCGTGACGTCATATGACCAGGTAATCCTTCAGACTCATCTCGTTCGTTAATCCAAATCCGGATCTCATTATTGCTTGGCTGTTCACGGATTATAGAATCAGCCTATAAGCCGCCCTTTTAGTGTCGGGTTAAAGTCTCCCGGAAGCCCCAAAGGTTTTATGTCTGATATATTAAGTGAGGCCAACATCATTAAGAGTTGCTTGGTAGACTGGTTTTAACAACATAGTTTTTAAGGCATTTGGGTTTCTTGTGCAACCATTGCCGAATATGTCCAAGTGATCCGGGTAGTTACGACAAGCATTGGTTGCTGGAGATCAATTCTAACACTTATGAAATCAGGTGGATTACTGTTCTTACTGTTATTAAGTACAAAAGTGTACATATATTTGACGTACATGTTTATAATACAAGGTTATTGGTTATGATGAATGTTAACGCATTTACATCAATATAACTAACTCGTATAGGAATACCTTTAACAAAACTGAAAGACTACCAAATTCGCAAGTTGCTCCTTTGCGTCCATCCTGCACGTATATATAAAAATATATATAACTGTGATCACAAATGGTCTCAACCTTTATGAAAAACATCTCTCTGGGCCCTTCATATTTTATGTGTGTTGGATGTGTGACCATTGTTCAGAAGATTTCCTTGCCAGATTGTAATAGGTATTCATTTTAAATTCCAGTGTAAGAAGCGAACTCATTTAAGGGCGTTGGTTGATTGATCATTAAAAGTTTAATATGTGTTCAGGCTACTAGGCCCATTTACACCTTGCCCATCATAAAAGTTTCAAATTCATGTTCTAAACGTGTTTGGCGTGGTTGTGTTTCTGAACACAGAAACAATCTCAAAAACGCAGTTCTGGAAGCATTTCATTGGCTATTTCCTCGTTTTCGGAGTTGTCCGATCCCGCCCGAACTGATCACGTGGTAGTAATAAATATTCATACCCTTACAAATCGTATGGTACGATAAACCTGAATAAGCACAGCCGGTAAAGCATATCGACTGGACTGGGTTACGGTTACGGATCAAGGGAAGTAATGATTAAATCCCCCACCTCTCAGGCTTACTGGGAAGTATAACAAGAACAGGGCTGAGCTCGACGAACATTGTATCTCACACTAGCGTTTGTGGTAAGGTCGTAGACAAGTCTTGCACACAACCAGAGCACAGTCATGGGTGCTCAGGTGTCGAGGACGGATTACGAGTGGTCATACACAGAGGAGCCTCATGCAACACGCCGGAAGGAAATTTTAGGTGAGACACACGAGATGCCGATCCCTCCATCACTTGTGACCGGTTTTCATAACCGCAAGTCTTATGATCTTCAACCATGTCACTGAATTTATTCTGACCAGAGAGGAATAGATATATTTCTTATGTAACCCTGTGCCTTTGCTAGATATAGTTTTAGCCCCGAAACAACTTAAAATGAAAACATTAGATCTACGCAAAGGATGACGACAAAGCGTGATTGCAAGGCGCTTCACACCCCCAGTTGTTACACGTCAAACTTGTCACGGGTGGGATGTCGCCTTGAAGTAGCTCACGAGGTCGCAGTGAACAGCAGATCGACAATTTGTTATATATCGTACGATAAAAGAACAAACTACCACGTATATTATGTTCATCTGACTCAGTTTGTATATTTGATAAGTAAAACTTGTCTATGCCTTGTGACCAGTTTTCGTCAGCACGCCCGGATTCGCAAGGTTTTGTCACCGATGGCCAACACACACGCAGAACTTCAATTGTTGGGAATTCTTTTGGGTATATGTGACAATTAAATGCACCTGTCCTAAAAATGTTTTGAAGATATGATACGTATTTCAAGGAAATGGAAATTCCGTTCTTTTTAAATTCATTTTAGGGACAAAACAATCTGAATAACTCTGATCGTTGTAAGGCAATATTTCACTGTATAAACAAACATACACACAATGTAAGATTGTGGAACAGATACAATTTAATTTATTGTAATTTAATGTAATTTGAAATGTTACAGGTGTAGTGGCGTGTCTCATCCTGAGTGTCAAATCAATAATTATGAGTGCTAACAGGTTTTTGAAAAATAGATGAATGTTGAGTCATCACATTTTGACCTTGGCCCACTGTACACAATGTTTGAGAAAGTAGTACTTCAGTATGGCAGCCCAGAGATGTTGTAGTAGCAGATCAGCAGAATTCTGGTTTGACTCCTCGTATGGTATACTCTAGTCTGTCTCACAGTCCCTGAACCAAGTTATTTTCCCTACTGCCAAGCCCTCCCTGCAATGCTAAAGCCCTAAATCATGCAAGTCTAGATTCCCTCAGGTTCTGAATTTCCCATTCGACTGGGGATCCTTTTCAATTTAAATGGGTTTATTTGTTACTATCAAAATTATGTGTTCAGAGACTAAGCATTGGTCTTGATGGTGACGTTCTGCCTGTATATGCTTTCTAGCATAAAGGAATAGTTGCAATTATGCTAAGAGCAGCATTAAATCCTCATCAGTTGCTAACTTAAACATTTTTGGTGTAATTTGATGTACTTTCAAGGAACTAAACTTACAGTGTTTTACATAGAAAACTGTTCTCTCTCCATTTTGCCAAACTTTTGACAAATGTGTAGATAAATTTGACCGAAGTAATGAAGAAACACATAGTTAATGTCAAAATTGTCTTTTTCATTCTTGCGTTTTTATGTAAAAGTCCAGGCTTGGAAAAAATTATGTGGACAGTTACAATTGGCTGTATTTCAGAAATTTCACACATAGATTTTTATGGTCGTAAATACCCTGAAAACTGAACAAACAATACTGATGGAGGTCTACAAAGAAAACCTCTTCACAACTGACACACGTTATGACAAATGCAGCTGGTAAATCACAAAATTTGTCGATTAGTTGGGTTGGCTAAGGGATATTGAATTGCTATGTTCAGGTTTATACAGAACTGCAACAGGTGTGTAGATTAATGGTAATTCGAAGCAAGCTGAGAAAACCATTACACAGATATTTCGTACAGCAACAAGTATGTTAAATTAGAATAACACGGCGACAGGCTAGGTGCGACATTATTGGCTAGGTGCAGACATTATTGATCAGTACTTGGCCTTGATTTAATCTTGATAATGCTGTCAGTGAAATGTTGCAGAATGTATATGTCTTCAGTTTTACAAATAAAATGCCGTAGTATTGATCTAAACATGGCTATACACCATTTTGACATGTGTGATACTGCTGTCAGTGAAATGTCTGTCCCCTGTTTTGACATGTGTGATAATGCTGTCAGTGAAATGTCTGTCCCCTGTTTTGACATGTGTGATAATGCTGTCAGTGAAATGTCTGTCCCCTGTTTTGACATGTGTGATAATGCTGTCAGTGAAATGTCTGTCCCCTGTTTTGACATGTGTGTGATATGGCTGTCCCCTGTTTTGAGTGAAATGTCTGTCCCCTGTTTTGACATGTGTGATAATGCTGTCAGTGAAATGTCTGTCCCCTGTTTTGACATGTGTGTGATAATGCTGTCAGTGAAATGTCTGTCCCCTGTTTTGACATGTGTGATAATGCTGTCAGTGAAATGTCTGTCCCCTGTTTTGACATGTGTGATAATGCTGTCAGTGAAATGTCTGTCCCCTGTTTTGACATGTGTGTTTTGATAATGCTGTCAGTGAAATGTCTGTCCCCTGTTTTGACATGTGTGATGAATGCTGTCAGTGAAATGTCTGTCCCCTGTTTTGACATGTGTGATAATGCTGTCAGTGAAATGTCTGTCCCCTGTTTTGACATGTGTGATAATGCTGTCATAAAATGTCTGTCCCCTGTTTTGAGTGAGTGAAATGTCTGTCCCCTGTTTTGACATGTGTGTGATAATGCTGTCAGTGAAATGTCTGTCCCCATGTTTTGACATGTCTGTCCCCTGATACATGCTGTCAGTGAAATGTCTGTCCCCTGTTTTGACATGTGTGTTTTGATAATGCTGTCAGTGAAATGTCTGTCCCCTGTTTTGACATGTGAAATGCTGTCAGTGAAATGTCTGTCCCCTGTTTTGACATGTGTGTGATAATGCTGTCAAATGTCTGTCCCCTGTTTTGACATGATAATGCTGTCAGTGAAATGTCTGTCCCCTGTTTTGACATGTGTGATAATGCTGTCAGTGAAATGTCTGTCCCCTGTTTTGACATGTGTGATAATGCTGTCAAATGTGAAATCCCCTGTTTTGAAGTGAAATGTCTGTCCCCTGTTTTGACATGTGATAATGCTGTTTTGACATCAGTGACATGTGTGATAATGCTGTCAGTGAAATGTGTCCCCTGTTTTGACATGTGTGATAATGCTGTCAGTGAAATGTCTGTCCCCTGTTTTGACATGTGTGTGATAATGCTGTCAGTGAAATGTCTGTCCCCTGTTTTGACATGTGTGATAATGCTGTCAGTGAAATGTCTGTCCCGTCTGTTTGTGATAATGCTGTCAGTTAAATGTCTGTCAGTGAAATGTCTGTCCCCTGTTTTGACATGTCCCCTGTTTTGACATGTGTGATAATGCTGTCAGTGAAATGTCTGTCCCCTGTTTTGATGTGCTGTAATGCTGTCAGTGAAATGTCTGTCCCCTGTTTTGACATGTGTGATAATGTGCTAAAATGTCTGTCCCGTTTTGACATGTGTGATAATGAACTGTCTGTCAAAATGTTATGTCTGTGGAGTGAAATGACTGTCCCCTGTTTTGACGTGTGATAAATGTCTGTCCTCTGTTCAATCAGGAACTGTTTTTATGAGAGATTGATTTACAGAGAAACATGTACATGACACAACCTTATGACGGACAAGTATTGATTGAAATGGTTGCTATGGTTACTGGATGGTTTCTATCTATTGATTGAATGGGTTGTATGTTTGCATATATTGCTGCCTCTGTTGTTGTGTGTTAGTATACAACGTGCAATCAGTGATAATATGATGTTAGGTTATATTCAAGTGTTATCAAACTGGACTGTTAAAAATAAACTTCGGACAAACTAGTGCAGTGTGGGGATGAACCCTTTTCAGTGTTTCTATGCAACCAGGATGTATAGTATGTCAGATCTGATATGTGAAAGTAATCATTAAGAGATGTGTTAAAGACGCATGTCAGTTTCGAAGTTCTCTGGCAAGTGGTATGGAAAGAACACTAACAGTTCTCCCAGCATGAATGTCTATTGCTGGGTATCAGCATCTGATATGCAATGACTTTAATAGAGATATATGGCATCAGGACATTTCATTGTTTTTATCTTCAATAATAATTGGGGTGGTGGGGTAGCGTAGTGGTTAAAGCGTTCGTTTGTCACGCCGAAGACCCGGGTTCGATTCCCCACATGGTTTCAATATGTGAAGCCCATTTCTGGTGTCCCCTGCCGTGATATAGCTGGAATATTGCTAAAAGCGGCGTAAAACTAAACTCACTCACTCACTCAATAATAATTTGACATGATAGGCGGAAGTGGAATGACAACATCTTGTTTGTACAGAGTAGTGTAAGGCCTACACAGTCACTCAGGTCACTCAATCAAAATTGACATGATAGGCGGAAGTGGAATGACAACATCTTGTTTGTACAGAGTAGTGTAAGGCCTACATGCAGCATGATCCTCTACTGTGATTCAGGTCAGGGTCAATCACAATGCTCGGAGTGAAGTGTGTAGTGGAAGATTAAACATGGTGGTTTTATACCTGGATCTACTTGTTACCTAACCTCAAGTATGAAATAGCCTGTGTATATATAATCTCATCTATTTGCAAAGTTCTTAATTCATGGCTCTTGTAGCCTTCAATAAAAACTGATAGTAAAAATCTCTATTTAATGTTTCAAAATCCTCATTTCTTAGTGTTCACTATCATATCGACCCATGAAGATCCGGGTTAGAACTGGTCTTCAGTAACCCATGTTTGTCGTAAGAGGCGACTAACGGGATCAGGTGGTCAGGCTCGCTGACTTGGTTGACACATGTCATTGTATCCCAACTGCGAAGGTTGATGCTCATGCTGTTGATCCCTGGATTGTCTGGTCCAGACTCGATTCTCTACAGACAGCCGCCATATACAATGTAGCTGCAATAATGCTGAGTGCGGCGTAAAACTAAACTCACTCACTATTAAAGTCACTATCGTATCTATTGATGACATTGATCTTTTTTAGGAAAACGGAAAATTTTGGTCTTCCTAACTCAACATTAAAGTGTCATTTTGAAAATATGAAGATATCTATTTCTGTGTAATTTCTCAAAACCTAATCCCTTTTAAGTGTTTAACAAAACGACCAACACTCATTAAAACTATTAATCATAATGAGCTACAATTATCCCCCGCTTCTGCTTTCAGCCAAGTATCCCCAGGTGAAGAAGTTGATGGGCCCTAATCCAAACCTGAAGTACATCGTGACATTGATGGTACTGGTGCAGATTCTAGCAGCATACTTCATCCAAGATGCATCGTGGGTAACTGTAGTGTTATTGGCCTACTGTTTCGGCGGGACCATCAACCACTCACTGACACTTGCTGTCCATGAAATTTCCCACAATTTGGCATTCGGACATTGCAGACCACTAGCAAACAGAATACTAGGATTTTGGGCTAATCTTCCTATCGGTGTGCCAATGTCAATCTCCTTCAAGAAGTACCATCTAGAGCACCACAGGTATCAGGGGGACGACATGCGGGATGTCGACATCCCATGCAAATTGGAGGGACAGTTCTTCACCAACACCATTACCAAGTTTATATGGGTTGTGTTACAGCCCTGGTTCTATGCTCTCCGCCCTCTCTTCGTCTACCCAAAGCCATTGACAGCTTTAGAGGTTATTAATGTTGTCATACAGTTTTCTTTCAATGCTGCAATTGCGTATTTCTTCGGAGTGAAATCTCTGGTGTATTTTGTGGCGGGAACCTTCATGGCTACCGGCTTGCATCCTCTGGCAGGCCACTTCATCTCGGAGCATTACATGTTCATCAAGGGATACGAGACATACTCCTACTACGGCTGCCTCAACTATCTCACCTTCAATGTTGGCTACCACAATGAACACCATGACTTCCCCAGCATACCAGGATGCAACCTGCCACAGGTGAATATTATTTGTATGGTTTCAACCTCGCTGGTTATAAGAGTGCATGATGTCAAACAGGATTTGTTTTGTTGAATTAATTGATTATTATAATTGTGACATTTATTACTTTGGGGTTAGAATATTTGTAGGTAGGTTCCTTGACTTTGAAAGAGGACTTAAATCGTTAGTTACTCTCTAAAATAATCAATTCATAAGTTTAGTGAGCCAGTATTTTTGGTGGAAACAAGCACCTGCTTTCAGTGATCTGTGATTCATATATTATTATCACCTCTATCTTTCCCCTTTATACAGTTGGGCATTCTCTTCCCTCAGAGGTTACTTGTCATCTTCCTACGAACCTCTGTTCTAATACGGCCCTTTCATGGTGCGAGTGTTCAGGATTCGTGATTGGTTGCAATCAGATTTAGTTGTGCAATCAGCGACGTTGTTTCAAAAGCGATCATTCACAAGGCCACGGGTATTTCCGTATGCTTCGGGAAAACTAGAACCTCTTTCCCTGCGCGATACACAAACGTTTCTTATAGACAAAACTCAGTCATGTAAATGGCGGATCAATGGCGTCTCAATCGCCCTCGTTGACAATGGACAAGCTAGCCATTAAATGTCTTGTGTGTCACATCAACACACGTTCCTGGCAGAGGAGGGATATTTGTGACCCAACATTTGCTTGTATTAGTCAAGTTGATGTAACACGTGTTCTGATTGGACAGAAAGAAGGGAGATAATTCGTGTTACGATTTTATGCCGCTAGGGGATTTTACGAGAACCGGGAAATATGACCGTATTAGAACAGAGGTTCGTAGGAAGAAATGACAAGTAACCTCTGTGGGAAGAGAATGACAGTTGGGTAGCCTAGTGGTTAAAGCGTCTGCTCGTCGTTTGGTTCGATTCCCCACATGGGCACACTGTGTGAAGCCCATTTCTGGTGTCCACCGCGGTGATATTGCTGGAATATTGCTAAAAGCAGCGTAAAACCCAACTCACTCACTTTCCCTCTGTGGCCAATGTTTTGTCAAGACTGATCATTATCTGGTGTTGACATTTCATGTGTTAGAACTGTCGGTCAAGGGGAGTTAGGTCACACGTTTTATTCAAAGCTGTCAAATTGATTGAGGACTGCTATGTATACAATGTGTACGTAAGATAGTGGGATGAATAGAGGAAGCTGTTTACACAGTTATTCAAATATTGTATGATACCTGGCCCATTGAATGTAAAACTCATTCAGCTTGTTAATACTAAAGCAAATACGTTTCTCAATCAAATATCTCTATTGAAATTTTATATTCATAGCCTGAAATGTGTGGTCTACTTAACTGAGATCTACATATGTACACCGAAAAATTGGCCATTAGCAGGAACGGATAAAAAAACCCAATTCTTTAATAGTATCATTATTACAACCCAAACTAACATGTGCAGCCGATCATGCCAGATTGCTTGTGTTTTGTGGAATTATTTTTGCATGAAGTTCTGACCTAATAACATCTCTCTTTATCATGCTCCGGAAGTAAAAGGGTTGATGTGTGCAATTATGCCAAGGCATTCTGTCCATCCATGCAAGGACATTTTTTTCAACCAACAACTTGAATACTATTGGTTAGATTGTTTTCAAATTTGGGGGCGATCATCTTTGTCTTATGGGAATGTGCAGTGCAAATTTTAAATGACATTTAATGTTTTGAAGAATTAAAGCAATTTACAAAAAAATATTTAGAAAAGTTTGTTCACCAATAACTTGAAAAATATTGGGCAAGACCTTCACATTTTGATCCAATTGTCCTAATTAATAATAAGAACAACACTAATATTGTTTTCATAAGATGTCTCTAAATATAAGTAATGTCAAAATGTGTTGTTGTTCGCCTGAAAGGGGCAGGGGGTGGGGTGTGTTTGCTTATTCTATCTGGTTTTTATTTAACAAAAATTCAGAGAGTAGTATTTACACTGAAGGAAAATCAAGTTCTATGGAGGTAGTATTTACATTGTGTACTGGGAACTGGGAACAAGGGATAGTTTAGTGTAGGTATAGTTAAGGTCTTTAGATATAGCAACTGTGCCCATCAGGGGAATGATAGTTTTCATCCATTTTGCTATGATAACAGTTTTGTAATTCAAGTATATCATTATTGATATCTGTATTGTAAATGATACCACAACTTGACAGGAAGTTCAATATTGAGACACTTAATTTTCCCCGATGACTGGAATCTTTTGCTGAGTTCACAGAACTTATACTTTTAGTTATCTGCATGTAAGTAATCCTAAAGCAAGCGATGAGGCGCACATCATGTTTTACATTTAGATTCACTTGGAGAAGACAAACACCTAAAGTCAGCTTGATTAGGGGTTTTCTTGTGTCCAACTCATAATATTCTTCTACAAAAGGATCTGATAGCCATGCTCCATTATGGACCATATAGTACAGACAGAACTGACTTACGTCTTGTCCACTGAGAAAAAACTCCACATATTGGTAGTTAAATAATTCTCTCTTATCAGACAAAACTTATATTGAGGAAGTCAAGTAAATTATGTCCAGCTATAAGAACAGTATGCTGCTCTGGCTTATGATTTAACCAGACATGACGATATTTATCTCAGAGGTTCATTCCTATTCATTTTCTTCCCAAATAACTCATAATTGTAATTGGATCTTTCATGTTCTATGTAAGCTTGTGAATAAATAACCTTTTGTTTTCTTTCAGGTTAAAAAGATTGCCCCTGAATATTATGACAATCTGCCCTGTCATACGTCATGGGTGAAGGTCATCTACGACTTCATCACAGACCCTGAGATCGGTCCCTACTCTAGAATCAAACGGAATCCAAAGTCAGACAAGCCATCCACCAACGGGAAGTCTGTTGAAACAAATTCTGAATCGAACAACAATGGGGACATTAAACCCACTAATGGCCATGTTCAGAATGGACTAGAACACAGAAGTGTTTCCAAAACAGTTCTTCAAAGTTCTTAATATTCCATTCTTGTTAAAGATGTTACTAGGTAATAATAAGATGTTACCATGGTAATGTGTTATATTTCTATATCATTTGTACTAATGTTGTTTGATATTTACATCAAGTATGCTTCAGATATTTCTCCGGTTCAGCAAAAGATTATTATGGCTACATTATCATCCTGTTTGAACAAAGTTGATTAAAAGTTATATTTTGAACTTTTTTACCATCAATGAAAACTCAATAACCTCTTTTTATCTCAGTATCTCTAGTGGATATAAAGTTCTATTGAATTAGAGCATAGTATTTTCTTATCCAAGTCAGATTTGAAATGAGGCTTTACAATCATTTGTGATTGGGAGTCAAACTATGAAGTTGAACATGAGACATGCTCCCGATATTCCGATATATTTTTTCTTTCTTTGCAATTTAACATTGCTCCACGTTTTTCTCATACAATTTATACTGACCACTATTAACAGAAAGATCTTAATTAGCCACACTGGCTTGTACTGTCGTGATTGTAATTAGTGCCCAGTCCTTGAACTGCCTCCCTGCCTACAGTATCAGCTGCTTGGACTTCCACATGGTTGTGACAAAGAAATATGTTGGAACAAATATAAATAGGTGTGAGAGACGATTCTTGAAACTAATTACCTGTGTATGTGAACACTAGGGATCCAGTTGCAATGGATACCTCCTCAGTGTTGAAACAGGACTAAGTGAACAGGCTGAAGTAATTTGTAGATGAGGTGATGTGTTCTTGTGACTGAAAGCTGTTTATTATTGAAGCTTGAGTTTAACGATCGTCTTTTATATCTTCATTGAGTTATGTAAGAGAAAGAACTGTATGCTGTGCTATGCTTTACTTAGTGGTGGGATCGCTTCCTTGTTTCCTGTATTGCAATATATAATACACTACTTACTGAATTTTTTAAACTTGTTAAACTAAACAAGAAAAGAATATTGTGTGCATTTATTGAATCAGACTTGTTTTTAGAATTTGATTGTTTAAATTTTTTTAAAATCATCATTCAGGGGTGTTTGACAATCTAACATGGCCTGTGGCCTAGTCAGCCAGGGTAGTGCTGCTACCCCTCGATCTAAAACCATCTGGGGATCTGCCAACATCTGTATCACCATCCATCTCACTAATACCTGTTTGTAGTTCTCATTGTTGTACCGTACTTGGTTTCCAAGTTTCAGATAACTTGGTTCTGTAAAGTAGGAAGACAGTAATACATGTAACATTGAAAAGTCAAATGGTATCTTTACATGATTATCACTGTAGAGTAAAGAAACATATTTTTGAATGTAAAGTTTTGAAATACTTTAGATTTATGATTTGAATATACTACTTGATAGTTCAGAAGGCAATTAACATATTTCATGCTATGTTCCTACACATGGTATCACTGAGTTGAGTACATGTACACCTGGAAAGATGTGGTGGGTACAAGTCTCCTTGGTTAGAATGTTTCCTCAGCAACTTATTCTGGTCATGACTTTAAGAATTGGGCTCTTAGGCTCTGTGACTTGGCTGTTTGTGTTCATCATACCTCAACTGGTTAGGTCATTGGAAATATATTTCCAGACGGAATATTGCAAAGTACCTTACGAGAAGAACACAGACACGCACGCACCCCCCACGCACACACACACACACACACACACACACACACACACACACACACACACACACACACACACACACACTCTTAAGACCGTTCTTAACAATGTCTTCTAAAAGTATTGATTTAAGATAACGAAAGATGTGCCATTGATGTATGGTTGATGGATGCATGTGTCCCATATATTGTTTGCTAGGGCATTTTTTTGTGCAGTGTGTTTTTTTCTTACAATGATATGATTGTCTCAACTTTCAGTGTGCAAGAAAAGCTAATCTAGCCTTTCAACTGCTTTTGTGAGCCCTCTGATTTTTCCTGAATTTCTTCTATGAATCATTTGGATAACTTTGTTATTTGTTATAGCTGAAGTTTTGTATGATTTGTATGGACTTGTATGCCTTAAAGAAAGATTGAAACTTTCCTAACAATGTAGTGTATATTTTGTATGTTGATATCTTCCTATTTCTGCTCATTGGAGAGACTTTTCTTGTCATCCAAGCATACTTTGTATTGTCTTCCATGTTGTTAGCTTTAGGAACCAGCCATTTGACATATATGCTACGATTGGGGGAGTGGTTAAAGTAGGAGTTTGTAATGCCAAATACTAGTATCTCAGTTCTATTCCACAGGTAAGCAGAATTATTTTGTTGCAGCATTACTCCCCCCACCCACCTTCTTCCTCAAACTACACACACACACACAAAACTCAAAATATCAAATGGTTGGTGTCCTCTATAATAAGATTATACATTTATTATTTCACCAAGGATATGCCATCAGTTTCAGTGTTTCGAAGACATTTTTTTCATATTTGTTTTAGTGTCAGGTCATACTTTGATGTGTTCAGTCATTGAATTAATGTTTCTGTTACATCGTTTGCTTTGAATTGTTCATTGCATGTTGAAAATTGACAACAAAACCAGATACCTTTCACATTGACAAATGTGTTTTGGCTAATTTTGATATTAGAATTCTATCTGAAACTGTCAAGGGTTGTTATTTTTATTTATCAACAATATTCCCAAGAATGTTTCACATTGTCGTCATTGTAAAGACAGGTGGATAATAAAATAACAACTGGAATGTTTGGTGTTCTTTTACATGGAGTTTTATCTAATATACTCACGTACAAAGAAAACACACCTTGTCCTTTGGAATATTAAGTGTTTTGATTGCAACTTACAAATGGCAATCATTGTGTACATGTTGCCAAAACACCATAGATATAGTACTCAGCAGCGATGTTCCCAGCCTCTCGTTCCTAGTCAAATTTAGGTCTAATTTATGTTGATGTGTTAACGACATCCCCGATAGGCCTGGATGCTAACAGTATTTTCTCACCAGTGTGTTCTTCTGATGCGGTGACTTGCGGCTGTTGATAGTGTGAGCATCCGGTTACACAGGTGATGGTCATCTTGTGAGGTGGTCCCCTTGGTCTTCCAGTTCTGGAACTATCTGACGTCTCACCAGTCTGGTTTAGGTGTCTCATTAGTCTGATGATGGTCAACCTTGTACATCTGAACATTGTGGCTGTTTGATGTCCCCATTTGCAACATTCTAATGTCTTGTTCTCGCTCCGCTGCTGATAATATTGGTACCTTTAACAGGCATAACTCAATAGGCTGCTGCTGCTTGTCCATAACATGCAAGTGCGAGTAATCAAACAGCAATTTAAAGGATATTTGTGGTGGTTTGACAACATGTACACAATGTTTATGACTTGTAAGTCACAATCAAAACCCTCTAACCCTATGTATTTAGGAAAATGTTTCCAAAACACCAGGTGTGTACTTTCTTTTGTCCGTCAGTGTCTCGAGTATGTAAGGCAACAGGACAGAACAGCAGATAATGAGCATTAAAACGTCAAATTGTGGTCTGTAAATAATCGAGTCTGGACCAGACAATCCGGTGATCAACGGCATGAGCATCGATCTACGCAATTGGGATATGATGACATGTGTCAACCAAGCCAGCGAGCCTGACCACCCGATCCTGTTAGTCGCCTCTTACGACAAGCATGGGTTACTGAAGCCCAATTCTAACCCTGATCTTCACGGGTGGTGACAAGCATGGGTTACTGAAGCCCAATTCTAACCCCGATCTTCACGGGTGGTGACAAGCATGGGTTACTGAAGACCAATTCTAACACCGATCTTCACGGGTGGAGACAAGCATGGGTTACTGAAGCCCAATTCTAACCCCGATCTTCATGGGTGGAGACAAGCATGGGTTACTGAAGACCAATTCTAACCCTGATCTTCATGGGTGGAGACAAGCATGGGTTACTGAAGACCCATACTAACCTGGATCTGCACGCGGTGTTCAGCAGACGTGATCTTCAGCCCAACCCAAATGTGACTGCTTGTGATGTTCGGTCTGTAAGAGGCATGCACTACAGCCTCAGAGACAATTTCGCACTGTGTGTGTGTGTGGAAAGGTTAAAGCCACTGGCGTACCATATTGCAGATAATGACGGCGTCCATGAATAATCGAGACTTGACCAGACAAAGATGGCATTCAATCCAGCAAGTTGCCAAGTCTTACCATCCAATCTACGTGGTCGGCTCGTTCAAGCTTTAGCTTATACAGGCACCCTTTGTTATTAGTCTCAGGACGACACCAACACCCCGTTCACGAATCGTCTATGCTCACTCCCAGCAGCACAACACCCATGAATGATATATGAAAGAACTACATTAAATATCAAAGTTTAATATGAAAGGTGAAGGTGGAATCTGTAACATGACCATTGGCGGATCCGAGGAGATTATGTTTGGCATTGGCGGAGCCCCCAACCCCCCCTTGAAAATTCTTGGATCCGCCTATAATGACAGTTCAACTTAAAATTTGAAGGTTCAACATGATAAGGCAGGCATTTAGTGTAGAGCGTTGTTTTATGTTTGTTGTATCTGAAATAGGATTTCAACAATGTTCACGCTATTATTTTCCTTACAATCCATTTCCCGGAAATAAATGATATTGAGTGACCTATGTGATGTGGACAGTGCGGTTGGATTCATTGAACCACTAACAGTGAAAACCTGTTTAGTGCGATATCAACCCATGTTAAACACAATCAAACTGTGCATTATCAGCCCGGCGTGACACACTGACTCCAAGAAGTTTAAACAGCAAGGCATAAAGGATTGGATCGTTAGGTTATGTTGATTGTTTAATTGCCTTTTGCCTGTGTCGGACATTGTACACATTGTCAATTACTGGTTTGCCGGTCCGTGCCAGAACATTAACTGGTATCTACTGTTCGCTTTTGTCTGTAGCACATAAAATATACACTTTTCGAAAGAGAAGAAACGCTTAGGAGATAATGAAGATGTTAATTTTATTTATTCACGAAACATACAATACAAATACAATAGTTTTGATTGAATCGTGTCAGTCACGTCTGAACTGGTCCAGCGCACAAAACAACCGTTATATTTTGTTGTAGCTTTACACATCAGTTGTTTTAGACCTTACGAACTTGAAATTAAAGGAAATTAAAGCAGACTGCACTTGCAATGACAATGTTTATAAAAGGTCAAACGTCAGTAAACAGAGAGTGAATATGCTGATATGTTGCCAATCGCCAAAGAATGTCTTGATGCTGGAGAGTGCCGGTCATTTCCGCGTACACCGGAACACCATATCTCGGTCTGGGGATTGGTATACCCTCCCTTATTCAGCCCTTTGTCCGTCCTAAAAGTGGCTACATCTGGGTCTTCTGTCTACGTCATCGACATGCTACTGACATGTGCCTGGTTTGAGGAGGGTATCGGGCCAAACGAACAGGAATCGTCTGTGAGAGGTCCCAGATAGATCCAGAAGATATTAATCCGATAGAGCATCTGTTGGATGAACTCGATAGAGATGTTCGCCAACGTCGCCACACACCTGCACGACTGGCCAATGCGTTGTAAACGGAATGGAGGAGAATTCCACAGGAGAGATTCCACAGCCTTGTTCAGTCTGTGTCAAGGGGGAGTAAAGCCGTGAAGCTCTCCGAACGTCGTTGGTACACGTGTCTTTTGTCAGTATTACCAATATATCAACACAATACGTGTTTTTACCATGTTAAACCACTAGGAAAGTTATGTCCATTATATCTCTCTCTCAATACGTCTCTTTTCTCTCCTCTCTCTCTCTCTCTCACTCTCTCTCTCTCTCTCTCTCTCTCTCTCTCTCTCTCTCTCTCTCTCTCTCTCTCTCTCTCTCTCTCTCTCTCTCTCTCTCTCATTACACGCGTATTAAATAAGTATGCCCTCGTGGTGTAAGCCGTTTAATCACCCTCACAACGGTAGGTATTAAAATAAACTCGGCTCGGGCTAAAGACCCCACAGAGTTTATTTAAATAACTACCTTGTAAGGGTGATTAACCTATACATAATTTCATCCTTGTATCAATCAAATGAACTAAAATATGCATATTTGATGGAAAACAGCATTTAATTTTTTTAAATTACGCTTAAGAGTATACTACTCAAAAGATGTTAAGGACATCCCGATTCTCCCCTTTATCTATATCTGTCAACGCAATGACGTCACACAACCATTCATCGGGAAATAAAGGACATCTGGCTGGATGTGTTCATCTGGTCGGGTCACCCGCTATTGTCAACATAACAGGTTAGCTTCAGTAATATGCAAGAATCGGGCGACCCTTAACTTCCTTTGAACGGTATATAAAGGGGTAGACACCACTGCGAAACCAAACGGCATTCCATGCTTGATGCCAGATCGCCCGGACAGACAGGACAGTCAACAAAATGTGCTCTGAAGGCGATGACCCTGGTGTTCTCCCTACTTGACTTAAACGTCATGCTGTACGAAGATTTAGATTTAGGCTGTGGACATTGTAAGAAACATATTCTGTTTGCTGCTTATGTTAGAGAAGACAACAAATATATTTTGATCATCGTATGTTCCTCATGCCAAGGTGAACCTGTTACTGTTCTTTAGCTCTACCTGATGATGGGGCCAGAACAAGCCCTGAAACGTTGTACCAAACAATAAAAACGAAGATGAAACCCAGAAAAGTCTATCTGTTCTTTCTATGTAAATAGGTAAAACGGCATGTTTGAGGTATTAGAGGGTACGATTTTACGCAATGGGCCAAGTTATCGAGCATGAACACAACTCGACTTAGTCGCCTTGGTAACCACACTTTACTGGACATCTATTCTCCTTGATTCATACATGGATGCCAGGGTAGCTTTTTGGTACGTTTTCACACCAAATGCCCTGGTTCGATTCTCCACATGGGTACAAAGTATGTGGCCCATTTCTGGTCTAAAAGACGCTTAATAGCATACTTGTTAACTCACTTCTAAAAAAACTCACGCCTAACTGAGGGTAAAGCACACCTTTGCTGAATTTGTCTTGTGTTAAATGTAAGCTGATATTGTTCCATGATTAATTCTAGCACACAATGTCGACGTGTACCCTCTTGTTCCAGAGGGCGGTGGGGTAGCCTAGGGGTTAAAGCGTTCGCTGTCACTCTGAAGACCTGGCTTCGATTCCCAACATGGGTACAATGTGTGAAGCGCATTTCTGGCGCCCCCGCAGTGATGTTGCTGGAATATTGCTAAAAGCGGGGTAAAACTAAACTCACTCACTCTTGTCCCAGAACACGTACGTGATCCTACTGCGTACATATACCCAGGATACCCTGTAGTTGACGTGTACCGCCTTGTTTACGTAAACAAAGATGAAGTGAAAGTAGATCCAGGTCAAAAGAGACATTCGTGAAGGATATTTGGTTTACATGTCTAGCACCCAGGTTGCGCTGATCACAAAGTAGAAGTGTAGAGCATTTACACACCAACCTACTGTGATGCTGTTAATCATGAAACACTCCATGGAAGCCTCACGGAAACATGGAAGCCTCACGGAAACATGGAAACACCTGGACACACGGGGTATATATGATGGACTGGTATATATATCCTGGTGTGGTATATATGATGCACTGGTATATATCCTGGTGAGGTATATATGATGGACGGGTATATATCCCGGCGAGGTATATATGATGGACAGGTATATATCCTGGTGAGGTATATATGGTGGACGGGTATATATCCCGG